TTATTTTATCAACGGTGACAGTGAATGTGAGAAATGTGAATGTGAGGTGGTTCAGGTGCACACTGTGCTTTTACTTGTTCTTTTCTCCATTTAAATAATGCAGCGGCACACTATGAACAAGAACAGATGTTCAGTAAGAACTGAATGCTCTGGCCTTGCAGCAAAAAAAAAAAAATGCTTTGGGCAGGACAGTTGAAAATTAACCTCAAATCAACCACAATACAATGAAAAAAAGCCCCCAATATTAGCAACATAAAATGCAGCAAATATATTACAGTACTTGCCCAGAGAGATAACAATCAAAATTAAAGTAAAGCTTCCAAACTAACCCTACCTAATCTTCCAATGCATTGACACTATACCTGCTCTGTGCCCCTCCCCCCGCCTTTTTATACTGAAGGGACTGGCTTATTCAAAAGCCCCCTTATTGTTTCTTCTATGCACAGCAGAGAAATACACAGCAGCATGTCTCCCTAGTAAAAAACACAGTAAAGCCGCACACAGTTAACCCTTTGATCGCCCCTCATGCTAACTCCTTCCTGCCCAGTGCCATTAGTACAGTGTCAGTGCTTTTTATTAGCACTGATTGCTGTATTGGTGTCACTGGGGATGTCAGTGGCAGTTAGTCAGTTCCCCCCCCAATGCCAGAATGCCGGCTGCAGTCCCGTTATAAGTCACTGATCGCCGCCATTACTAGAATAAAAAACTAAAAATCCCAGTATCTATACCGCCATTTGTAGACGCTATTACTTTCATGTAAACCGATTAATTTACACGTATTGGGATTTCGTTTTATCAAAGACACGGAGCAGAATACATTTTGGCCTACATATACAGTGAAGGAAATAAGTATTTGCTCCCCTGCTGATTTTGAATGTTTGCCCGCTCAAAGAAATGATCGGTCTAAAAATCGAATGTTCGGTGTATTGTAACACTGAGAGACAGAATAGCAACAAAAAATTCAAAAGAAATGCATTTCTTAGATTTATAGACTGATCATTTCTTTGTGAGGGGCAAACATTCAACATCAGCAGGGGAGCAAATACTTATTTCCTTCACTGTATGAACAAGTTTGATTTTTTATAGCAAAAAGTCAAAAATATTGTTATTTTTTCAAAATTCTGTCTTTTTTTGTTTATAGCACACAAAAAAACACACAGGTGATCAAATACCACCAAAGGAAAGTGCTATTTGTGGGAAAAAAGGACACAAACTTCATATATGTACAGCGATGCATGACCGTGCAATTGTCAGTTAAAGTAACACAGCGCCGTATCGCAAAAAATGGCCTGGTCAGGAAGCGGGGTAAGTCCTCTGGAGGGCAGGTGGTTGAGGGTGCCAATAACTTTGTCCGGTCCATTTTTGGGATTTGGGTGTCAGATTTGGCTTTTTGTTTCTCTGGGTTTTTTTGTGTGTCATACCAAAACAAACAAAATAAATAAACAGAATGCCAAAACATTTGTAATTGCAACAATTTTCTGGGCGAAGTGGTGCATTATCGGACAGAAATGCAGGGGTGCCAATATTTTTGGCCATGACTGTATTGTTACATTTTTGTTGTCCTATTTTCCATTAGGGATGCGTTCTGGGATTGCTGCCATCATGGGTTTGAGGTGAATCCTGCAAGTGTGAGATTCACAGTCCTGGTGAATGTTTGTGCAGATTATTTTTTAGCAGACCTATGAACAATTATTTATTTCAGGTACTTATATAGTGCCGTCAATTTACATATATATATTGTACATTCACATCAGTCCCTAACCCTCAAGGGGCGTACAATCTAAGGTCCCTAACTCACATTCATACATACACATACTAGGGACAATTTAGACAGGATCGAATTCACCTACCATCATGTCTTTGGAGTGTGGGAGGAAACCGGAGTACCCGGAGGAAACTCACACAGGCACAGGGAGAACATGCAAACACCAGGCAGGTGGTGCCGTGGATGGGATTCAAACCAACGACCCTAGTACTGCCAGGTGGAAGCAGGGGCGGACTGACCATTTGGAAACTCAGGCACTGCCCGAGGGCCCGGGGTCAGTAGGGGGCCCCATGAGATGCCCCTGGTACCTTTTTCATAGGCTTTTTTGAGTTTGGGCAAGGACACAGGGGCCCCATGATCCCCTATTGCCCGGGGGCCCCATGAGTTGTCAGTCCGCCCCTGGGTGGAAGTGCTAACCATTTAGCCACTGTGCTGCCCAACAATGGCCATAAGGCTTAAGTCAATAAGGGGGCTTTTGAATCAGCCAGTCCCTTCATTATAAAGAGGCGGGGCACAGAGCAGCCATAGTGTCAATGTATTAGAAGATGTTGTACACAGAGATTAGAGTCAGTTTGGAAACTTTAATTTTGATTGCTAGCTCTTTGGACAATTAACTTAAGTTTTAAATTAAGTTTTATGGACAGTGTTATAATCGGGGCTTTTTTTCTCAAAAAATAGGTGCAGGAACTCCCCTCTTCTGAGTCACTTCTTGTCTCTGCCCCCTACCCTCCTCTGAGCACCGTCCCTCAGTTCCACCCCCTACCCACCCCCTAGTACCTCTCCTTTTAGAGAATACAGAGCCAAGTATTTTGTGGTGCTAAATAATTTGTATGGAATTTGTTAATGATAACAAGAAAAGCAGAAAAATAGATCTCCCCCAACCAGCAGCAATGGTCTCCCCAGCAACAATAGATTCCTCCATCAACAATGGACTCTCAAAACAAAAGACCACCCCAGCAACAATAGACCCCCCCAGCAGCTACAACAAATTTATCAGCAGCTAGCGTCAATGGACTCTCCTAATAACAAGAAAAGCAGAAAAATAGATCCCCTGCAGCCAGTAGCAAAATTCCCCCCCCCCCAAGAAACAATAGATTCCTCCAGCAATGATTGACCCCCAAAACAAAATACTACCCCAGAAACAATATATCAACCTGCAGCTACAACAGATCTCCCAGCAGCCAGCATCAATAGACTCTCCAGCAGCCAGCAACAATAAACAATAGATCCCCCTCCCTTAACAGTAGATCCCATTCCGGCCACAGCTGACCCCTATCAACAATATATTCCGCCACCAGCATCAATAGACCTCCCCAGCAATAATAGACCGCAAAATAAAAAAATCCCGTTCAGTAACAATACAACACCCAGCAACAATAGATCCTCCAGCACCCATTGCCATTACATCCATTCAGTACTGGAGGTGCCGGAACTGTGTTCCTCCGCATTCCCGCTGAAAAAAAACCCTGGTTATAATATATGTCCTCTCACACTAAAGGTTCGATCATCTGAAGGTGGAAATCCCACTGAACCCCCAATTTGGTTCCTGTAATTGAA